AGCAGCCCGGCACTGCGAGGCTCGCGTATTTGCGCCCGAGCGAATAAACAAGCGCCGGACCGGGCTCCAATCGGTTCGCATTTCATTAGCGCTCGTCCTGTTTTCGCTTATTGAATAAGTTAGGTACCTTCTCCGTCAAAAGCGTTCTCTAGTCCCGCAAACTGCAGGTAAGTCGCCTCTTGGCCGATTGATGCTGTACACGGTTTGGGGCACAGTTTCTTGTTAATTAACTACTAGAACTGCCTGCCCCCAAAGGAAATGCCTCCCGCGGACCCTTTAGCTTTCTGCACTCTTCAGGAACAGTACAAACACTTTCAGGTTTTCAAGAAATAGTTGAACTCTTTTGACGTCATAGGAAAACAACTTCTTTTTCATTTTTTCCTTTGCTTTCTTTTCTGTGAAGTCCTTAATTTGGAATTGATACTTGCGTTCTTGCCTTGCAAAACATGTTAAGAGAAAATCTGAATCTACAAGAGATTGTCTACTATTTCGTCGGAAATCATTCAGTTCGCATTATTCGTGACGATATATTTAATTTTAAGTGTTACAAATATTTTTGTGCATCACTATTTGATTGAAAATCTTCCGTTGTAATAATAAAGGACAGTGTAGTTTTAAAGTCATCTCCATATATCAATGCAGGAAGAGACGACCAGCGACTCGTTAAGTGTCAACTATAGTTGCCACTTTCCTATAACAGCTGGTGAAGTAAAAACTTGCTTCTTGGCCTGAGAGTATTTAATTTACTCATCAGGGTGGTGAAACAAGAACATGCAATAATGTAAATGAGAAAAATGAACTGATAAACATTTGTTACAGGACAAGTTAGTGGTACTAATTCTCAGAAATTCTCAAGGTTCTCGAGATAGTACTAGAGTCGGAGGAACTTCTGCCTGTAACCCACCAGAGGGGAACGAAGACCCCCCAAGTTCGGGCCTGCATGTTAAACGAGGATCTTAAGAACACGGATGATCGTTAGTTTCTGGGTTCCCCTCCGATAATGCCGGTGACTCCTCCCGTCGTCGGCGAAAGTAGAGGAATGAAGGCAAAGCCGATCCAACTTCGTGTCAAGTATCGATAGACCTTAATCGATGCGTTCCATTGAAACTTTGAGAGAGGAAAGTCTCGTGCTTCTTGATCCGCAAGGTGCCTTTCACGCAGTTCGGGGTGGTAAAAGCATGGGCATTTATTATTTATACAAAGCGCCATGGCGGCGAGAAAGTCTCATGGGTTGGTACATAGTGCTTGGAGTCGTTCCTCGCCTCTCAGGGAAAACTCGAGTCGCAAGTTCCCTACGCGCGCCTGGTTGCTTGCTACACACTTAAACATTGCGCCTACACCTCCCGAACATTTATCGACCATTTTAACCGCGCTGTATTTTTGTGGCATTATTGCAGACTTTAGGGGTAACTGCGCTGCAACAGAAAGTTGTGACTTAATTGTTATAAACGAGTTCAAAAGATGCCCAACTTCTCGTTAAGTGTCGGTACTTATAGCCGATACTTTCCTAAAATGGTTGGTAGATCAAAAGACATTTGCTTTTTGGCCTGAGGGAGTAGATCCCATTCGGGGTGGTTAAGCAAAGACAGAAAAGAAATTCAAGTGATATACAGAAATACAGGAGAAATCAAATTTTTCAAGACGTTTCTATATGTGACTTTCTGTTGCTGCACATCGTCGTAGTCTGTAAATAGTAGTAAATTTTCTAAATAGTTTTTAACAATACTCTGGAAAGACATGAGTTAACGTGATCGTTTATAATTCAGTTCATCACTTACGGAAGCTGGAAAACATCCCTCTCTTGTGGAATGTTCTTTCCTTCACTCTCAGAAGTGTGCTTCCAATAGCAATAAGAGAGTCTCTGCGTAAGAGAATAAATTATTCTCTTACCTCGTTCCCTCTCAAACATATTTTATTTATAAAGGTATTTACAGGATTTTCATTTTACGATTGAAGATACCTGTCAATTTTCTGTGACTTCCAATAAGATGTTACGATGTGTTTGTGGATAAGCTGACGACTCAGTAAAACAAAAATTTAAAGGGCAGCGAAATGTATCATGTAGAAAGATCTTCCAGCGTGAATAATGAAGCTATTCTAAGCATTTGATGTTTTTGCTGTCGTTGTAATCGGACAATTCGACCACCATTGATCGGGTATCATGTTGAGTTTGTGAGAACTACGCAAGTTTGATACTCGTAAATAACGTGCATTTTAACGCTAGACCTTGTAACGAGCGCTGCAAGTTGGGACCTTGATTACGCTGAAAGAGAGAACTACGGTCCTCTGCGTACTGCCGTCTCTTGAGTTTTTTTATTATTATTATTATCTTCGCGAAGCAATTACGAGTTTGGAAACGGAAGTTCATCGTGAACTTTTTAAATAATAAAATTTCTTTTATTAAAAGAAAATATAGGGTTGCGGAATGCAAACAAACGCGGGAGCGCAGCAGCGCTCCCCATGGCGGATGGCGAGGGGTGTCGTCGGCACGGCTAACCTCCCCCGCAATGGACCGGTTAAAAGATTGGCAACTGAATAAAAAATGGCTGCAATTCCCGGGAGCTCCTTGGCGCGCGGTAGGACAGGATGGGGACGCCACCGTCAGTCCGCGAGTACCATCCCGCCATTTTGTGGGTGTTGTTGGCGCAGGGATGTGATTGCTTTGTGCTCCAACCTGTCACAGTATTCTCGCCGCTGCCGTGGTTTTCGCCTCTTGCGTTCCTGATCTCCTACCTCAATTCAGTTAAATCGCCGTTTGATCCGTGTCATTTTGTCTGCTTTTTTTTTTCGTTCTATTTCACATGCTCTTAGATTTTACCTAAATCTTGGTTCAGTCCTTATGACTACATCATGCATGTGCCCGCCTCCGCGCGATTTGCGGTATCGTCTCCACCGTTCGCGCACCTCTCTGCTTTCACTGCCTTCCCCGCTTCGCCTGAGCGCCCTCCCACGCTGCCTCTACCGTGACGTCCGGGGGCGGCCGACCTTCCTATATTAAGCTTCGTCCTTCTGAGAGCCCGCGGGGGCTTCTCCGCTTCCTCCTTTCATGCGGACTAATCTGCTCATCTACTGCGCCCGACAGCAGGGCTTGTCGCGCCGCGGGCGGAAGGGCGCGCTCCCTCCGCCCCTCCCGGTTCCACCCCGCCCCGCCCCGCCCCCTCGGCCGCCACGAGTTAACCTGTGAATATTTCATGGCGTTGATTATGGGGTTACGCGGGCGCGAGGCACAGCGTCCGCAGAAGGGAACGAATGGGTCGAGTCCGGGTGAAGTCCCGCCTCCAAAGTGTTAACCTATAAAAGCATCGGGGATCCTCGATCCGGGGCGCATAGACTGCTGCGTGAGGTTACGTTCAGGCGCGAAATTTTAAGGAAGAGAAAAAAAGATTAGCTTCGAGGCCTTATTCCTTTACATTCTTATCTTTGCAATTCCTGTAATATTACTATCTGCGTTGGGTTCGCCTATCGCTGATAATTAGGGAATGGAATTTCTTGTAATTAAGTGAAATATTTATTTTGATATGTACTTGTATTTTCCAAAATGCGTTATAAAAATAGAAAATGTGTAAAATAAAAATGTATTGTATTATTTAAAATAGCTTCTTAAAAGCATTTCAAATTTTGGAGCACGAAACCTCGCCGAGCAGTCATAATAGGATTCCGGAGCGGGTGAACGAAAGTTGACAGAAGTAAATGCAGACTATTCGTCACCACGCAATGCTAGTTTTATTAGAAATAAAAAATCTGTACGTAGTGTGTGCAATGTTCTTTACGAGGAGACTGCTCACGTCAACAGCAGTACTGTGCTACCTGCTACCAGTGAAGGATCCCGGAAGTGGGGGTTAGAGGGAACATGCACCCTTCTTCATATCCAACAATGCGATAAGACAATTATCTATAAAAAAATATTTGACAGATTTGAATAGTTAGGCACGGCTTGCAACATGAAAGTGGTGACACATACGAAGGTGGTTGGAATTACTTCTGCTTCATAAAAATCCGTTCATCCTTGCTTCGGAGATCGCGGTCTCTCAAGAAGCAGAAGGGGATAAGTTTGCCGATTAACTGGGAAAGTTCGATGGTTGTGGAAGAACAGTATTGCTTTGCAAGAAAGACGATTGCAGTAATTTATAAGCAATTTCCTGTAGAAAATTTTCGTTGTGACGTATAAATCATTTAAATTGTAAAGAAATATGTAGTAGTTGATAAAATCCGTAAAAAATTATAATTTCCCCAAAAATGTGTAAATACATGCTAAATATAGTGGTTATTCATTTCGAATGTATTATAAAATATAAGCAGAAGCATTAACCTTTCTTCCTCTTCCAACCCCGATTTCACCTCCACTGCATCGTCTCTATCATGCAGTTTCCTTCGTGTCGCAGTCGAGTGTGCGCAGAGCAGTCCGCGCTTGGATTGGCGACGCAGAAGTGAATTCGCGACGTTGTATACGAAGAAACAACCTCAGCGGCTATTGTACGACGGCGGGAGTAATCACCGCAGCTTCCTGTGCCGAGATGGAGCCGGGAGGCGGTGGTGCGGGCGGGTCGCCTTAGCGCCACCTCCCGTTACTTTGCGCCACTCCCATCAACATTTGCGCGCCGTCCCGTACTACGAGCGGGCGGTGGAATGTTAAATCTTTTCGGTTCTCTCGCTCTGCCCTCGCCTCTTTCCCGCGCCGCTGTGGACGTCGCTACTAATTCTTTTTCGCGGACACTTTGTGCTTTCGCCGGCGCCCTCTTGGCGCCGTAGGGGGCAACAATGGCGCGGCGTTGGGCTTTTAAAGCGCCGTTGTTCGCAGCGGCGGCTGGCGCCGCCTCCGCCCCCGCACGTATCCCCCTGGCGCTACGCGCCGTCTCGGTGCTTTATTGCCTTTCAGCCTAATTGTTAATGTGCAAGTCTAAGCAGGTGCCGGAGCCACGTCGACGGTGCGCGCGCGCGCCTCTTCAACGGCTTCCACTCTTCTGATTTTTCACTAAGTGTTTTTTCTTCTCGTGTTTTAGGTGAGCCTGATCTGCAAGCTGCCTGCGGAGAAACGCCGCGGCGTATGCTGGCACAACGCATTGCCAGTTTGTGTAAGTGTTTTTCTTCCAGCCCCCTTTCATTGGCCTGCCCAACAAGCAGAGGGGCAATTTAAACGATCGTTTGAAACAGCCCTTCAGAGAGTTCATATTTCACGCGTTTCCTTTTATAATATTTAAAATTGAAGTCGTAGTTTGTGGCGAGACTCGCCATGAGCCCTGCTCTTCCATCTGACCACGCAAATTTCGCTACGCTCCTTTCACCAACTAGCAGAGGCAGGAGGTATTTCTTGGGCTAGAAATATGCGATTTGAATTTAGCTCGCAGGAGTCATTTAGGCTTGAGGGTCTTTGAAATGCAAGTAAATCTACTAAAATGGGCAAGCCTGCTTTACTTCCCCTCCGAAGGAAGGCGTACGAAGGTTTTTTTTCGCCGTTAAAAATTCACGGCTTCAATCGGGTTTGTACCCGCCATCTTCTAATGGATTATATGCTCGACGGTCGTACATTTTCAAACTGTATGTGTGACCACAATGCATTCCTAAACCTGAAATATTCTTGCATATGAACAAATTATACATACGCCAGATTATTATAATCTAGTATTGTGAAATTAGTTTTATTACCGATGAAAGTAGTTTTGCAACAAAAGAAACTTTTCGGATATTGTTTTCAGTGTATAAACATTGGGTATCCTATACCTCGCCCAGCTCGGTTCGTTTCCAGCACTACTTGTTGGTCTTCTCTTCGGCTCCCACTCTTGCCGGACGACATTTTCATTTCCTGTCTTTTGCGCTTCTGGCAACGTAGCCGCTACCTACGGGCACCAGAGAGGTGCTGGGCGAGCCCCATCGCGGTCTCTTGCCGTCGCCCACGCGGGCCCACCGCCACGCTCGCTCAGACTTAAATGCTTTGTATGGCGTCGTCACGTGGGGTTGAAAAGCGATGCCGCTACTGGCGGAGGGGCGGCGTCGCATTGCGGCCTGGCCCTGCGGCTCGAGTGCAAGCGGACGGGCGAAAGCGCCGGGCTGATGCATGTGCGGGGCTGACCCGGTCCATTCATTCGCCCGTGGGCGCGGCGCTATTTTAGACTTTTTCAATTAAAACCCTTTTGTTATCCGGCCGGGATTTATGTAGTGGGAGAAGCCGTATTGGCTGCGCGAGGTTGGCGGGCGGGAAGGCGCGCCACGCGCGCTCTAAGAGAGCTGCCGCCGCGGTTTACACCGAAATGCACACGAGTCTGCCCTTCCCCTTCTGCTCTGCACCCGAGCGTCCAACCGCGACGCCGTTCGTTTTTTCTCCATTTCCCACCACAATGGCTATGCAAATCAGCGCGCGCCTGCCGGCCGGCCGTGGGCAGCGCAGTGCCGCCGCGCGTCGCTAACCCTACGGCCCGCGCTCGCTCGTGCGCCGACGCCGACGCCTCGCCGTTGCTGCTGCGGGATTAGGCCCTGTCCCTAAACACTTGCGGCGCTGTCCCGCGCGGCTTACCCCGTCCCAGCGTTGCGCCCTTCTCCCCTCACCCTCCTCCTCCAACCTTCCAGGCCGCTTCGACCGGTCGATCCGCCGCTGGCGACCGCTTTGCTGTCTGTCTCGTCGCCGCAGGCTCCGATGGCCGATGTTGAAGTTACGAGCGTGCGTTTCACGCTGGTGTTCTCTTAATTACGCGAATGCTCTGTCAACAAACTGGTGTCTCTTTATTCAGAATTTTAATTAGCTTTGAACGATTGTTTGTTCCAACTCCTCATGCATTTGTATCGCCTCAGAATTAGCAATATCATTTAACTTCATGTATATATGACCTCATTCGCGTTTTGAACTGTCTCTTGCGGGAAACTCGTTGGCATTATAAATTGGAGGGGAAAACGTTGCATACAAATGCGGTCTCGAAATTAATATCTACTTCAGAAGTGGAATCACTGTATTTAAATTTTTATAACCATTTGGTAAGTTTTCCCGAGTTCCTACAACAATCTGAAGTTCCGTTCTTTTGAAAATAATAGCTACATATTGTGAAGTTGGAAACCAAAAAAAATATTATTCAGATATTTACAATAGTGATTAGTTTTAAAATAATATTTTGGTGTCGATGAAAAACCGACGAAAATAAATGCATTTCTCCTCAAACTTTACTTTCCGAACTATTATTTTTCTGACGCCTCTTTAGAGATTTAGTACTTCAAGGATTTATTGATTTGCTTGATTCTGGTATTTAGTTTTACGGTTTAAAATTAATAAAAAAAATATCAAAAAAATGCGTGAATAGTGCTAAAATTAACTTTGTGTGGCCTCTCCTATCTTCCAAAAGTAGTAGCTGAACCCCTAATTTCCGCCTTTTAAAAATGCCTTCTTGCCTACCTCAGCGCCGTCGATCCCGTGTGACACCGGAGCTCCTTCTCTGCTTCTTCTTCATTTCACGAACATAGTTAAGCTTGAATTAGGGCGCCGTCTTTCCCGAGAAGCGCTTCCTCGCGATCGAAAAAATTATGGCCGCCGTGAATAGAGCGCGCTCGCCTGCAGCCGGCAGGTATTGATCGGCGTTCTGGCAAATTTCCCGGCACGTGGAGCGAGGCTGGCTTGGCGGCTGCTGTTCGGCCGGCGCGGGACTGCCTCTCGACCACCGGGCTCACCGCGTCCGTCTCGATGTGAAACCGGTCGTGTACGGTTTGTAAAAACACGCACCTTCACCCACAGCTTTCACTTTTTTCCTGCCCGCGCCTACCGACAAAAAAAAGTGCTCGCCGCGCTGCAGTGGAGGCAGCTTTTTCGCATAATCCCGAAAGATTTTGTTATCTGACCGACTGACTGTTCGGTGGGCCGCCCAACTCACCGGGCGGCGTAGGGATGGGCTCGGTGTTTCACCGGTGCCCGCCTCCAGGTTACTACTCCCTTCTTCTTGCGCGTTGCAAAGGAACGGTAGGAGGTGTCACAACCAGGGAAAGAAAATTATTGTAATATGAAAATGTTGCTCAGTTTGCCGTCGGTTTGTGGCCTGTAACAGTTGTAATTAGAGAATGGTTTTGTAGGGGCAATATATTACTCAAAAGATACAGGTGTCTGATTTGTGTGTCCTGCTTTGTGGGAGGAGTTTGAAGCATAGAGATTTGCTTGGAAAACCAAGTAAGTGGCACTTATTCATAAACGAGTTCTTGTGATGTCATGGTATATAGATGATATGGCTATTTATATAATAAAGCAAGAACGATATGCCATAGCATATTACATTATTTTGTATTTAATTAATCATACGTTTTCTTAAAAAAATAGTAACATCGGTGCTCTAATTGTCAGTTTGTCTTGGAGAATTCCAAATTACGAAATGTAAGAAACGGTCATCTAGTCGTCAGAAAGCGTAGCCGCTGATAATAGCAGGCGAAGTCAAAAGCAGGTCGGCTGGCGTCAGAGATAACGAACCCGATCCGAGCTCGTTTTGAGTGGTGCTTTTATTGCCCTGTCGCGTCGCCCGTTCGCGCTGTCGCCCGGGACTGTGCGCGCGCGCAGGTGCAGTTGCAGGGCGACGGGCGCCGACAGGCGAGGTCGCGCGGGGCGGCGCCGGCGCCTGGCGCGGGGCGGCCTGGGCGGGCGGCACGACGAGGCGCTGGGAGGGGTAATTGATGATGGAGCGCCGCTCGCCGCCTGTAATTGTTATTCCGGGGCGCGGACCGCACACGAGGCAGTCGCCGCCTCCGCCGTCCGCCTACAAATCACGTGGATTTTGTGGCGCGTCTCGCTCGTTCTGCCCGTAGACGGTTGCGCACCCCAAAGCGAGCGGTAGCTTGAGCAGAAGGTGGCCGCGACGTCAGGACAGATGGGGGAGGGGAGCAGCCACGCAGGTTGGCAGAGGGCCCCAAAGCGAGTGGCGACGCGAGCGGCAGCTGGGTGGGAGGTGGGGTGGACGCAAGCGGTGACAGGAGTGTGGGTGTTCAGGGCGAATGGAAAGAGTTGCCTTTTGTGTGGCGCCGGCCACAGATGGCCGCTGCCGGAGGCGCTGAGGGATTTAGGGCGGGCAGCGCGTCCTTTGGTCGAATCGAACGATGGATCTCGCTCCATAGTTCGTCCATTGGCGCCTCGGCCCGCCGGCGAGAATTGAAGGGCATGCTTGAAGGAGATGACCCTCTCGTATTGACCGTAGCAAATAGAAACTAGATACATTGTGGCGTCGAGCTCTGAAGGTTCTTTGCCTACAAAGAAAGAGACTGGGGCTTTTGTGAAGAGTTTCGAGCGAGTATCCGGAACATTGAAGTCAGTCATATCAGATATATGTTGTCTGAACTTCGACCTTACAGAAGAAATATGTTGAAGATTTACGTAATGTCATTCGACCAACTGTACTTCGATCTACGAATAAAAAGGAGAAATAATAGTGACTTTTAGAAATACTCATATTACTGCAAATTACGGAAATAAAATTGACTTACAATGCGGATGGTTCATATTCGTAGAAAGTCATAAATCCCCATATCATTGCAAACTGTTGACTACGGCGAATACGCGCGAGTTTAGGGCGCTCATAGATGCGGTGCAGTGTTCACAAAGAAAACCGTCGAAAACACTATTTGTGTGGAAAGGTTACGTGTTGCTGGGGCCTCTGGTCAATTCTGCACGGAACAGTGAATTGCTTAATCACGTTACCGCGTTAGCTGCTCTCGGTAAATGATCTGATTTTGGCTCTAATTTAGCGTTTCTTTTCCGACATTGAGGTTGAAAATTCATTATTGATTCTTTGCAGATACTTTTCTCCCTGCGTTATGGACTGCTTTTTTATTTTTATTTGTTTATCAGCGCAAATAGTCTTCCTTAATTTCTCGAAACATGATGTGTGCGTGATATTTTGAGGGCTTAATTAGCGTAATGTGGGATAATTTCGTCGCGCTATGCTCATAATCATGTATTTGTCCAGCACTTGGATGCTAATTTCGTTTTATGCTAATGTTATGTTTGTAAATTACAATCTCTAGAACGCCTCAATATATTAATATTTTGACAGCGACTTCAGACTAAGATAGGTAAGGAAAACGAGTTAAGTTTAAGCGCTAAATTTGAATGAGGCGTAAT